TTTAGATAAGAAGTTTATGGATACCCGGTCCTTTTTCGGGTCCGGTTCTGCCAACCATACTTTGAAGAGAATTATTATAAATATACAGACAAATTATAAAGTTGAAACTAAAAATGATGAACCAGAAAAAAAGTTTTTACTTATTTATTTATCAGCAAACCACAGGTATTTTAAAATACATTAAAGTGGTGCATAAAAATGATAAAGAGAAAAGTTAGGGAAAAATAATGATGATAAGGAGAAATATCATAAGGAGAAATATCAGAATTTTATAAGCTTCTTGGTCTTATAAAATTCTCATTCATAAAGAAATTCTTATAAAAAATTCTCAATCATGAAGTAACTTTAAAAATTAAATTTTTATTAATTAAATAGTTTAATCATAATTTTAATTTAAAATTTAAAAGTTCAATCGGCATTTTTTAATAAAACAAATACCCATATTTCATAGTGGAGTAAAAGGTCATTCTTACCAAATATATGTAGTGTCGAAATCTGTTTTCACAGACATAATTATAAAAGTAAAAGAACGTCTGAGAAAATGTCAGTTGAGATTACATAATTCTAATAAATATTTTGACATTATATTTAACAATAATGACCTTTACTACACTGTGAATATATTTTTATTTTGTATTCCATTCAATTTTTAATTAGGTAATATAAATTTATTATTTAATAATCTTTTTTAATTTAGAATGAAACTTGATAGTGTTCTAATTTTTTTAATTTTCAATTCGATATTATGGAGTTTAATTAATTCTGTTAAAAATAATAAAAATCAAAACGATTTAGCTAGAGTTGAGGAAACCTCATAAGATTTAAATAAAATATTAAACAATGGAGCTGGATCATCGGTTGCTCCTCAAATTCAAAAAGATGAAGATAATTTAGGAGAAAAAAAGAAAAAGAGGAGAGAATATTATCGTAATTGGAATAAAAAGAATAAAGAAAAGAAGACCAAATATGATCAAACTTACCGAGAAAATAATAAAGAAAAAATAAAGGAAAAGAGAGAGTCTGCAAAATATAAAGTACGAAAAATAAAATCTAATCACAATTACTATCATAAGAACAAAGAAAGGATTCTAGAAAATAAACGACTTAGGCGTCTAAAAATGAAATATGAAAAAGGAATTCAACAAAATGATAGTCCAAAATTAATAAGCTTTTTATCTGATAATGGAGAAGGAACTCCAGCGAGTAAGATAAAGGATAATAATTATGAAAATAAAGGAAAAGAAACGATTGTCACCAATGGGAACGTTCAGTTAGATCAAGGAAATATTCAACAAAATGATATGATTCTAAATAAAAACGATGAAAATTAAGTAAGAAAATCTGAGGATTTTACATCCCAATCGAATAAAGAAAATAGTAAAGAAAACATTCATACTTCTGTTAATGAGGAAGGAAATTCAAATACGGATAATAATATAAATGAAACGATTACTCGCCCTTATCCAAAAGAAAATGTTAATGATGGACAGCTCCCACAAATAGATGATTTGAATGATGTGGATTATCTTAATTTTTTGTATGATTTAAATTATATGGATAATCTTAATTTTCTATGATGATATGCTTCAGATATTATAGTAAATGCTGGGAATTTTAAAGCTCGCAAAAATTTATATGTAAATAAAAATATTTTCTGTCAATTTAGCCTTAATAAATAATTTATGTTTTTTAGCCGTAAATAAAGCCTTACTTTTAGCCTTAATAATTTTAGCCTTAATTTTAGTTTTAATAAATAATTTATGAATATGTTTAATATAATTGTACCCAAAAAGTTTATCTAAAAAATAAAATCATTTAAATAAATCATATAAAAATGGAAAAGTATATTTATATAATAATGTCATTTAATAAATAAAATGTGGGTAGCAAAATCACAAATTCAGGATCCCGTTACGGGATTAGTTTCAAAAAGGGAATCGTGACGTGATCTTGTTTAACACTTCAAACATAGAAATAATTCCGTCTGTCAATTAAAATTAGAAATTACTGTAAGGGATCCCATAAATGACAGTACAAGATCACGTCCCGTATCGCACATTCATGAAAAGCATACATATGCTGAACAAATTTTAGTTTAAAATTTTAGAAAATAAACTTTATATATTGGTACTTTCGCATTATCTATATCGAATTTTCTAATGAAATTTATAAAGTAGGACCTTAGTTGTAAATATTTCAAATTATAGTCAGACTTCGTCTTTAGATATGATTTTTAAAAGTTGCCTGCTACACGCTCAATAACCCTCGTTTCTATATAAGATTTCTTTATTAGTAAAAGGTATTTATTTGAATAAGATCCGACTCTATCTTAGAATTGATGCCTGATAAATAAGGGTATAACTAAGGCGAAAGTTCCAGTATATCAATCAAGTTATACATTGTATAAAATTTTAAAAATAATAAATTTAAATAAAATAAAAATAGAAATTCTGACTTTTTTTAACTTTTATAAAAAGTTAGTGGTGTTTGTTTGTGGTTAATCTATTCTAATTAATTTATGTACATATCAGAGATGTTGCGCACAATTTTTAAACAAAAGAGAAAACGAAATGGAAACGGACCTCCAACTTCATCCTTTAGATAAACAAACAGTTGAAAATGGGGAGCAACATCTCTGATCATTGTGGTAGAAAAATTAGAACCCAATGTTTTTAATTTTATGAATTTAAGAGGAAACCTGATATTAAACATAAAATTCAAACAAAAATTCCATAAAATAAAGAATTTTTTGATTTATGGTTCCTAAAATTCAAAAACATTGGCTCTATGTTTAAATTGTACAGTTCAAAAATAATTTGGTTCAGCTCAATAGAGTAATTTCTCAATTAATTACCTGCCGAATTATGCATTTCTTCACCCTATTGCTAGAGTGAAAAATTAATCGTTATTCGGGGGAAGGTAATTAATCGAGGAATCGGTATCAAGAAATAACATTTTTACTCTAATGAGCTTTGTCTTGGTTGTATCAGGGAGCATGTTACACACAGTGAATCCTGATATGTATATTTTTGTGGTAGATAAATACAAATTGTAAAATAATTTTTAGATAATTTACATATCTCAACCAGAGGTGGGTGATCTTAACACTATGAAACATAATTAAACTTAGGGTAGGATGATGTACTCTCGATTAGGCACTTCCGCGGTGTCTCTGTTCCATTCCCCATCAATACCATTTCACGAGCATGGATATAATAGAATAATTGTCGAAATTCTAAAGCTAAACTAGCCCTGATTATAAAATTTTTTCAAATTTAGAAAATAGGAAGACGAAAAAACCACACACCTCTGGTTTAAACCAGTACCCACATTCTTTCAACAGAATGTAAAAATCAAAAAATATGCAGTCCCAATAAATCAAATTCACTTCCCTTTATATTTGTAAGTTGCTTGATGACTATATTTCATTCGTTTAGGACTCGATTTGTAATGGTAGTTTCCTTTGACCTCAAATGAATCGCCATAAGGCATAAAACGATTACCACCATGATGACGAGGAGGGCCATAATGACGAGGATGGTCATAAATATACTCCTCCGGGTTGTATTCAAAACTTTCTGGGTGATAATACTCTCTACCACGAACTTTTTTTATAACCTTTCTAACTTTCGGACCTTCTGAAGTAGGTGCAGGAGCATCACCTGCCACAATCTCAACTTCAAATATTCCTTTGATATTTTTTGAATAATCTTCCCATTTGTCCAACAAGTTTTTAAATCCTTTAAATTGTTGAAAAATATTAAACAAAGTAATCGGATTGCATTCAAGACTCTCGTGAGCATATACATATATGCGGTTTACGTTCTATTCAATTTCTTAGGGCTTAAGACGAGATAAAATTGTTTCAGATTTCCTCGTATAAGGAAGTTGTTTTGTTTAAAAATTTCTAATATATGTATATTTAAAAATATTTTATTTGAATTAGAAATTTTCAGGAAAATTTCAAACAGTAATCTTCTAAAAAGATTTATAAAAAGTGGTGAATAAAATTCATAACAAGTGATTAATTCTAGGCCCGAAAAATTAAGAAATAGGTTTTATTATAGCTTTTTTATGCCAAAATCGGTACATTAGAACAAAATGTTTTAGAACTCTAAAAACTCTACAAGTGTGCGACATTGTGCGGTAAAAGTGTTTTTCAAATGAATTCATTATAAAAAGTTTGCTAAAACATCATAGGCTAAACACATAGGATATTTAGGCAAAACACCTAAGAAATGGCCCATTTTGTAAGCAACCTCTTTCTAAAGAAGCTCAAATCTAAGCAGCCTCAATATCTTCTAATTTTTTGAAAAAATAATCCTTTTGTGATGAAAATCCTTATTGGAAACCGGCCGATGGGTTACTTAATTTTAAATAAAAAAAGATTACTTGCAGAAAAAACCGTTCCAATCTTCACATTACATTTTTCAATAATTTTGCTTTGATTTTTCAACCAATCAACACACTTTTCAGAATCTTTTTCAGTAAGTTTCTCATCGCAAATTCGATTTATAACAGAATTGTTTTTACTCGAAATTTGTTTTCTCGCCTCCGCAAAAATAGATTCGAAAAATTCAAAAAGTGTGTGAAGCAAAAACAAGTGATAAGGCCAATTTCGTTGAGCTAAAAAATTTTTTAAATTTTTTATATGAAATTTCTATTTCCTATTAAGCTCTTTTATAAAAGAGACTGGCTCAATTTGTTTAGACTTTTAATCAAAATATAAAATTCTCTGAGCAAGGCCTGGGAGCTTGATTTTTTCAAAGGTGTTTTACGGCCAAAATCCCTGCCTTATGATGGTTGGTTACTCTGTTACCTAATATGGTTAAATGATCGGGTCTACGACTGTGTTTAGTGAACATCTCCTCCTTTACATAATTATTACTGTATCATTTACAGAATTTCTGTCGACTGAGCTACCGAGGTGCTTTTACCTCCCTTATTTAATAAATCCTAAACCCCTCATGGTAAAGCTGAAAGATATTCCCTTTGATTACTTAAGCAGCATAAACTGCCATCATAAAATTCTTACCATTCAAGCGTGTTATCTCCTCCTTTAATGAATAACCCTTGGTTATCTCCTCCTTTATATAATTAAAAGCTTTGGTAGCTTCAGGCTGCTCCTTCCAATCACTTGTTTTCTCTCTTAGCCAATCCCGAAACAATTTCGGAAATGCATAAATTGTTTCAGCAGCATCAGTTACTTTATCTTCTCTGTTAATTTTTTCATGATAAAGTTTAATTTTGTCAACAATTTCAGAAAAGAATTCGTCTTTTTTAAGTGTAAATTTAACTTTTTGTTTTTCAAATTTTATTTTTGGGGTCTCAATTTCAACGGTAAAAATATTTTTGATTTTATCTTTAAATTCGTTCCATGCTTTTGTTTGTTTAACTAAAAGTATTTAGTTGATTATAAGATATAAATTGAAAAATTTAGGGTTTAATTTGGTTGGGATTAAGAGTGTATCGGGTGAAATGGCTTGATGGGCAGCGGATTATAATAAGTCACTAGGGATTGTAAATATTTGAGGACTTAAATCCTTCATTATCCCTTCCAGTAAAATCCCTTCCAGTCGACTAAAATGTTGGGTCCCTACCAGTTGACCCAACATTTTTATGGTCCTTCCCTGATTCCGATCTCTATTTACTCTATTAATCACAAAATAAACTTGCCAAAATTATCATGAAGTTTATAAAAATCATCAATTTTTTCAATATTCTCTTTGTTCATCTTCACAAGTGCTTCTAGTCCCTTTGAGCATTTCTTTTCCTTATCTAAATCTTTGACCTTATCCGCACAAATCGCGTTGCTAACTTGTTCATTGCTTTTATCAACCAACTTGATTAATTCGGACAAAACCTTGTCATAAAGTTGAGACAGAGCATTAAGTAAAAATAATGCTTTGTGCCAAAGCTGTTTTTGCTTGACTGAATGATTAAAATTTCAGTAAGAAATCTCTTTAAATCAGTGCATGGATAATTTTATCTAAAGCAAGTTTATCGAAGTTTTACTGCAATCAAAATCGTTAGTTGGAGGCTGATCAGTAAAACTTTATACTAGAGAGCTCTAAGGTTCTATAAGAGGAAATGAGTGGAGTAAAGCTGGGGAAAGGAGGGCAAACGAAGTCATATCAAAAATGAATAGTTTTGCCTTGACTCTCAAATGTGTCACATCCAGGGCTGTTCGTAACTGCGAATGCAGACTGCGGGTTGCGTGAAATTGCTTGTTTTTTGGATTTGCGGACTACGGATTTTAAAATTAATTTTATTTTTTAAATTTTAAAATTAAAATTGCGAACTACAGATTGCGGCTGCGGAAAATTTTTTCAATTGCGGACAGCTATGGTCACACCCGGTAACTTTTCTAATAATTACACAAAATTAAATATAAAACCTTTTCCCTTATCTTTTCCTTCTTGAATAGGCTTTTCCCATTCAGACACGGAATAGACTTTTTCCATTTCTCCTCTAATTTTCTCAAATGCGGAAGATACTTCAGGCTGATCCTCCCATTTGTTCACAGTTTTTGCATCCAACAAATCCTTTATTTTCTTTGATTCTTTGGGCAAATTTTCGAAGATTGCGTGTGGAGCTTCAATTGTACTTTTTTGAATTCTTCCATTAAATCTTTTTATAAAGTCTACAACATCAGGAACGAATGTTTCCTTTTTTACCGTAAACTTTACTTTCAGATCACCTGAATTTAAACTTAAAAATTCGTTTTTATATTTTCTTATGGTTAGAGCCTTCTTTAGAAAATAGGGCAGGGTCAGGGAATTTAGTGGATTTTCTCATATAATGTTGAAACTTAATCTTGTTGCCAACCGATTAATTCAAGATGAATATTCGAAAAATAAAGTTCAACATTATAGGTATATTAACAACATTATATCCCACGGAGTTTTAGAATAAAACCTCTAATAGAAATGTTTATAAAATATGTTTTTAAATTACCAAGAGTCCAATCTTTCTTTGATTCAGGTTTAGGCTCCTCAGGCTTTGGTTTTGGCTTCTCTGGTTCCTCTTCTTCATAAATATGTTCTTCACTATATTTATGATGTACAACACGTGGCTTCCCATAATAAGGGCCACTTGGCCTCCCATAATAAGGGCCACTTGGCCTCCCATAATAATAACTATGGGTCATAACACGATAACATTTAACAGTGACGATACTCAACGAACTAATTATGGCTATGCAAAGTAGCACAAAGAATTTGATGTTCATGACTTTTTAAAGAATTCTTGCTTTTTTCTTAAATAATTAAAATTATTTAGACTTTTGTAAATTGCGTCCCATAAAGTTATATATTGGAGATTTCTTTTGGTTTTCAATGGTGAAGTTGTGATCCGTAAATATATTTTGAGTTATAGGTAAGTGGTTTGACTAGGGAATTCGTAATTTGTTTCCTATGAATTTTATCTAGCGATATTCTATTTCCTAAATTCAGAGAAAGCATCATGGTTCTCTGAGGACAGTGATAGGAAATCTTACGGAGACTAACACCAATATTCAAACACAAATAATATATAATATATAACTTTATAAGCTGAAAAAACTATATGCGCCGCATGACAAGAGCCATTGTTTTTAAATACAATCTAAATAAAAAGAGAATCGAAAATTGGGAAAAATCGGAAAAAAATTTTTTAATGAGATTTCCGAAAATCTTTAAGATTTCCGATTCCCAAGGTAAAACAAATATCAAAAATCAAGTTCCAATCCTCATTTTCAAATTTTTAAATCTTTCTGTTTAGACAACTACATATGTTCCAACTTCACTAGACTTGGCCATGTTTCATCTCTTCAGGACTAACTCCCCACATTAATCCTGAAGAGATGGCTTATTCCAATAACTTAAAAAACTTCTAATTTTCCCTAATTAAATAATCAAGTTATTATTTTCCTCTAACTTATAGCTAAGAAAAAGACTTATAGCTTCACTTAACTCTTAACTTATAGTCTTAACATATAGCTATAAATTTTTTTAAGACTTAAAAATAGTAAATAATTTTATTAAGAGAGAATTCATTAAACAATTTTTAGAGAATTTTAAAATGCCTAGAAAAATTTACTATGTATAAGCAATACCCGCGCGCTTCTTTAAAATCCCTTACAATCGAAGTCCCTCCACCTCCACCTCTCCCTCTCCTCTCCCTCTCCTCCCCTCCCACTCAAACTTGACTTTTAAATGCCCAACTAGCACGTGTTGCACTTAGCATATGCCTTTTTATTAAATTTCCCTCTCCTCAAAGCTCGTAGTCAAGCTCGAGGCTCTCATTAAAGCTCGCGTCTGAAAATTGATTGAGTTAATTGAAAGGCATGTCTATATAGCGCTTTCTCTTGCCAAATTTTTTAAAGGAAATTTTTAGAGAGTGCGACTATCGAATTTTTCTAATTAAAATTTTTATTTTAAATTTAATAAATTAAAAATTAAATTTCAAAACTATTTAAAAATTAAAAAAAACTTTTTTAAATATGCTATTAATGAGTAAATGTTGAATTTAGATATAGAGGTTGCGTTGTGAAAGAATGATCGTAGATCAGAAATAGTTTTTCGCTGCTGGTCTAGTTTATGCTTCCAATCAAAAGAAAATGGGATTTTTCTTGGTGTTGCAAAGTTGGGGTCCAAAGCATTTATTCATGTTCGGGACCTACGTCAGTGACCATTCCTTACCCTGGGACCATTACTTGAACGCTTAAAACTTGAACTTGAACGCTCCCAGACCGAGTGGGCGTAGGTATTTTTGAGAAAATTTTGTTTAATTATGTAAACATGTCGTGAGTTTTTAAGTTTATGTTAAATTTTTATTGGATGTGGGAAAATATTATACATATGGATAAACTTAAACATTTAATAAAAATTTAACAAACATAGACTTAGAATCTCACGACATGCTTACATGTTTAAAAAAAATTTTCTCAGAAATATTTTTTGTATTTACAAATTATTAATTTTAAGTTTCGTGATAAAAAATATTTATATGAATTAAAGTTACTTAATTTTCTAAATTAAAAAAATTTAAATTAAAATGTCAGATTTACTTGATATTTTATTTAAATTTGATTATTTTGGTTGTTTATTAATTGGGTTTCCTTTAAATATTATTCTGATTATTTTAATTATTTTTAAAACACCAAAAGAAATGAAAACACACAGTCTAATTCTGATACAAAGTTGTGTTATAGATATCTTATTGTTGATTATTCAATTGCTTGTTCAAGGGGTAAATGATATAAAAATTATAAATAGAAGTGCAATTCTCGCACATTTTTCCCCTTCTGTTATATGTAAAAATTAACTTTTGTCTCTTGAAATGAAAAGGATAAAATATTTGAAATTATTATCCTGAATTTTCGGGATTTCACGTATAGGAATAATTTTAAAATAAACTATAACAAACGAGAGGTGAATTTTGAAATTTTAAAATAATTATTAAAATATTGGCTGTAGTGTAGTGTAACTGTAAAAAAGTTCGAGACGTGACATATATCATTCGATTCGCTCCGAAAAGCTGAGTCAAACGGTATTACTCCCTACTCTAGGAAATGATTTTGACTGAATATACATAGGTCCCGAAATATCGACAACATCGGGGGGAGTAATAAGCACCAATTTAAATACGCAAATAATAGCTCATTCTAAAGATCTCGTCGAGCTAAGTCGAAAAACACCAAAATTAACTTAACTAAACAAGTTTTAGTCAAGATATAGAACAAGTTCAAGTCGAGATTTAATATGTATAAGCAATACCCGCGCGCCTCTTTAAATTCCCTACCAATCGAAGTCCCTCCACCTCTCGCCTCTTTTTCTCTCTCTCTCTTCCTCTCCCCCTCAAATTTGACTTTTAAATGCACTTAGCATATGTCTTTCACTTACAATTAGCCTGTTTATTAAATTTCCCTCTCCTTAAAGCTCGTAGTCAAGGCTCGAGGCTCTCATTAAAGCTCGCGTCTGAAAATTGATTGAGTTAATTGAAAGGCATGTCTATATAGCGCTTTCTCTTGCCAAAATTAAGAAAGGGAATTTTTTGAGTGTGCGACTATCGAATTTTTTAATTTGAAATTTTTATTTTAAATTTAATAAATTAAAAATTAAATTTTAAAATTATTTGAAAATTAAAAAAAAACTTTTTTAAATATTGCTATTGATGATTAAAAGTTGAATTTAGATATAGAAGATATAGAGGTTGATATGTATAAAGAAAGATAACTTAGGTGGAAGTATTAGAAGATAACTTTAGTGGAGGTTCAATCAAGCAATTTTGGTGTTACACTAAGGTGGAGCTTACTCCCATATTGTTCGGTACAAAATTATTTCTTAAGATAAATAGTGGTACCCTTCGACCTAACGCAAAAATTCAAAAAAAACGAAGAAAAATGCTTAATCTTTTTACGGACAATGAAGTGTAAGTTGGACAATTACCTGTGTTTAAAGATTAAAAGTTATTTGATTAGAGATTAAAAGTTATCTAATAAAAATAATCAGTTATACAGGAATATTTACGAAGAAAAATATTTAATACATTAATTAATCTATACTTAATTATAGTATTATTTACTTGATACAGAAGGGAATTTTGTTGTGATATTACCTAATGGAATTTTGCTTAGTCTTATAAAAGTTTTTGATCCAATTGTATGCTATATTGTTTTAACATTTTGGATATATTTTGGTTATTTAACTTTGTACGGATTGTGTGTTAAATTTATTTATAGATATTTAGTATTAAACAGGTAAATGAATAAAAATTATTTAATTTTAAATATTTAAAGGAATATGAAAATTAATTTTCGTCGTTATTTATATATTTTTTCGATTGCCATATTTTTGACTT